CACATTCAGCCTCTGGAGCACCTGTATCTGCACGACAGCGACGACGCCAAGGATAATCACTCTTCTACCACCCGTACACAGTTTCCCAGAAAACCCCTGGAATAATAGAAAACCATATATGAATTTTGAAATTTGTTCAGTCATCTACAACTGCTACAAGTAACCACTAGAACCGGACTATGAGTGCCCAATGTAACGTTCTATAAAGTCGGTCAATGTAGTTACATAAAGCTTTGGGTTTAGTAATATAATATATATTTAATTAAGACAAACATAAGGTATATATGATCATTATCTTGATATGTTACTACTCAAGAGTCTCTATTTTAGGTTCAATACATTAATTGTTGATGTTTTACTCTATTGAAATACCAGTGTCATATAGAATACAGAGTGACACTATAACATCACCGCACTATGTTGATGTCATGTAGTCACTGCATGGCTTCCACTGCATGTACTGTGAGAGTCCCACTACGCTGAATAATACACATGCTGAATAACGGAATTGTCTCAGATATATGTCTTCTAAGTCACACTAAGAACATCACGATAACGTTGATATATAAAAGCATCTCAATCAGTCTCTGTATAAGCACATAGGCAACAACACAACACATAAGCACCTCACAGGGCTGCTGGGTTCGGGCTGAATATAATACAACCCCCAAAATAACACTGAGTTTCAACATTATAAATTGTACAAGTTATGTATCCAAAGAACCAGTATAAAACTTGGCCAACCATGATATTGGACGATACCAAAGTTTACAATATATTTACAAAACATTAATGTTTCCAGATACTGAAGTAAAGTGAGAAATAAACCAAGTTTATTTCACAAAAATAATAAAATATCACCACTTACTTTGTTTAGACCCTTTTCAAACTACGATCACCAGATGTTGAAATGATGTGGAACAAGAGCTTTCAATAACATTTATACTTAGTGGAAATACCTGAGTTGAGTCAGAGGCGGATCTAGGAACCAACAAGGGGGGGGGGGGCCCAAATTTCAGGTCAGAGTAAAAAACGTCCAATCTTTTTGTTCTGGGCCCACCCAAGGGGGGAGGGCCCCCAGCCCCCCCCCCCTAATCCGCCAGTGTGAGTAATACGTTCAATACTTGACCAGCATGTTGGACTCACTCCAAAATACAATAATACAATATGAATAACACAGGCTGTTCGATTGCAGTGACAATTATTGTTTCTTAAGGTTGATTATAACCTGAACAAACTGCAAAATAATGTGAAAGCAGGCCCAAATTAATATCTGTGGAAAAGGATGCATCTACAGATTGTGAGATTGTATGGTCTAAGCTCTCCCTTAACCAAGGGGATATTTTTATTGGATCATTTTATCGCCAACCATCAAGTGACATTATAACAATGAAGCAGCTTTATGAATCCATATCGAAAATTTATGGACGTGGATTGGACACCCCAAATATTATTCTCGGGGTGATTTTAATCTGCCAGATATATTGTGGGACTCACATGAAATTAGACACAATTCTCAATACAGCCACGCAATAAATAATAAAATGCTGGACATTGTGAATGACTTTAATCTAACCCAGGTCGTCAGCGAACCTACCAGAAAGAACAATATACTCGATCTGATATTCACAACAAACCCTGACCTCGTTGAAAGGGTCGAGATTCTTCCAGGGATTAGCGATCATGACATTGTATTATGTGACATTAGCATGAAAGCAAAATGGATCCATGGATCCATGGATCACTGCCATGATAAAGTGTCTCATTCGTCAAAAGCAGAGACGCTATAATGCCGCAAAACGGAGCAACTTAGAACAAGATTGGCATAAGTACAAATCTCTCAGAAAGCTCATTCATCATGAATTACGCAAGGAGCACCAGAATTATGTCAATAACCTTCTTGATTTTGACCCAGATTCTCCTACCAATACCCCATGCTTTGGCATCACTAAGCGTTTTTGGAATTATATCCGATCCAAGCGTAAGGATACATCTGGAATCAGTGTTCTTCAAAATCAAGATGGTTCAGAAACCACTGACGCTGCTGAAAAGGCTGATATATTAAACCGCCAATACAGCAGTGTATTTACCAATGAAAACCCAACACTTCCCCCCATGGAGCCTAGTAATATCCCCACAATGCCTAGGATTAATATTACTAATAATGGCATTATCAAGCTCCTCCAAACCCTTATCCCCTCCAAAGCTGCAGGCCCCGATCTTATCCCCACGCGCGTTCTCAAGGAGTCGGCCAATGAAATAGCACCATATTTAAGGATTATATTCCAACAATCCCTAGATACTGGCAGCGTACCTCTTGATTGGAAACATGCGAATGTGGCTGCAATATTTAAAAAGGGTAAGAGAGACGTGGCATCCAACTACCGGCCTGTCTCGTTAACATCTGTCCCTTGTAAAATTTTAGAACACATAATCTTCCACAGTGTAATGTCCCACCTGGAAACATATAATATACTTGTGGACATTCAACATGGATTTAGGAGATACCGATCATGTGAAACTCAACTTATTAATACGGCAGAGTCCATTGCTCACTCAGTCGATAATAACGAGCAAGTGGATCTCCTTATATTAGATTTTTCCAAGGCGTTTGATACCGTGCCTCACAATCGCCTACTCCAGAAACTCGATCATTACGGTATCAGAGATGAAACTTTAAAATGGGTCAAATCGTGGCTGACAGATAGGACCCAACAAGTAATTCTTGAAGGTCAGTCAAGTAAATGCTGCCCAGTTAAACCTGGCGTGCCTCAGGGAACTGTCCTCGGGCCACTCTGTTTCCTGCTCTTCATTAACGACATGAACAATAACGTGACCCAGGATACGAATCTTAAACTCTTTGCAGATGACAGCTTACTATATAGGCCTATAAACAGTATTAACGACTCTGCTAAACATCAATACGACCTCAATACCCTTGAGAAATGGGCAGAAACCTGGCAAATGGCATTTCACCCCTCTAAATGCTTCATCCTGCGCATTCACAGGAAGAAAACCCCTATTATATGTAATTATACAATGCTAGGACAGAATCTCAAAACGGTAGATAGCCATCCATATTTAGGAGTACACCTCAATAGTTCACTAACATGGAATACCCACATCACCCATGCCACCACAAAAGCTAATAAAGCACTTGGATTCATAAGAAGAAACCTCAACAATTGCCCTGAGAAAGTAAAAGCACAATCATACATAGCCCTTGTGTGACCCCATCTTGAATATGCCAGTGGGGTTTGGGACCCTTATAGGGCAAATCATTCTCACATGATAGAACAGGTGCAACGAAGAGCAGCACGCTTCGTTACTCGATGCTACTCTAGGGAGCCTGGATGTGTTACCAATGCACTAAAACATCTAGAGTGGGATAGCCTGGCACATAGGAGATATATTGCAAGGCTAACACTTTTCCACAAGGCAATGAATGGAAAAGCAGCCATTAACATCCCTCCCTACATCAGACCCCAAAACCAATTCGTCACAACAAGGAACTCTCATCCCCCATGTCCCCTCAAATTCATAATCCCCAATACCAGGACAGACTTATATAAATATAGTTTCATACCAAGAACAATAGTGGAATGGAATAAATTACCTGGGAACATTTTAGACTCACAAGTGCCAACATTCAAACATTCTGTGATTAACCATCTTAGAAATATATAGATAACTGCAGGTCAGTTCATGTATATAAAAGGACATTTTTTAGCAAACTTATTTTACCATTAGCTCTAGTCAACTAATGCATTTTACATTAACATTAACTATTTTAGTAACTTTTTACACTAATAGATAATTTAATATTAATATTTTATATAAATGTATGTATTGAAATTTGCATTGTGGGCAAATATGCCTGTTGCATCTTAAATAAATAGAAATAGAAATATTTATACCTTGCAAGTCTGCCATCCCGGGAATTGCGGGAAAATAAGAATTGCTAGTTTCGGCTGCTAGTTTCCCCTGCCTCGACCTCGATATCGGTAATGACCCGCCACATATGAGATATCACTTTGTTTCAAACTTTCATGAGAATTCAATTAAGCACTAATAAAATATCATTTTTTACCATTAATACAGTCTTCCTTACCTAGAACAAGATGAAATAAGTCATTCTTTGAGACTCATCGTTAGTTTTGAGACAAAAACTATCAAATCTGTAAGTTACTATGGGGCGTCAAGAGTGCCATTACTGTATAAAAAACCGAACGTATACTACAATGGGCTACTAAATTTCGACAACGCACTGATGTAGAAATTATCTCTCAAAGACGCTTATATACCCTATATTAAGATTCCTGAATAAATAACAGAAAATGCGTAACATAATGTTAATATTCTGATCATTTAATGTTAGAATAGATCATATTTGTATAGCATTTGCTTCCCATGTACAGCACATAAAATGGTAAATCATTGAAAAATATTGAAAAAAATCACAAAATTCAAGTTCTGGGGTACATATCGCCATTTTCGAACGAACTAGCCCATACAATGACTATATTTCTGCGTTCCCCTATACATAACCTTCATCTTGACACTATATTTAACATAGAGTTTGCGTCTCGATTTTTAAACATCACTACGCCAACATAGGGACTCATTTTTAGGTAAAATCCCTGCTTCACCGATGAAAATTAACGAATAAAGTAGTTCCAGTTTACAGTACAGTTGTTGCCTTAGTTAGCTAATAATATAACCTAATGTAACCTAATGTCATATGCTTTTATAATTAAGCTGCTGGACTATTATTGATTTTATATGTTGGCATTAGTGCTTTAGTTAATGCATCTTTAGTCATAAATCAGAGCAGAATACATAGCATTCCTTTGCCATTGCTGATTCAGTCTTGTGTAATCCTTGTGTAACCTCTTGTGTAACCCCTTGCTTTATTATAACTTCCAATCAATGTGCTAGAATATAGCTGTGCAAACCCTTTGCCCAAATAAGGAAACTCCTGTTTCATAACTAACCAATCACAACGCAATGCATACTAATATCCCTGTTAAGCTTTGGTCATGCTTGTAAGCTGAAGAATTAAGTTTAGTTCAGTCTGGTCCTGGTCTCCTGAAGTGTGAAGTACAAATAAAGAAACTAAAGAACAACCTTGCGTCTTGTTAGACAACACTACAATTGGTGAACAATAGACGACACTGGAGGCCCTTCTGGGATTCGAACCCAGGCTCCCCGTTAACCAAACAGGTCCCGCAGAAGGTAATTATGACTTTGGCTCATTAAATTAAAAAAAATTTTCAAAAAGATATAAAGTTTAGAAAGTTTTTTTTTCATTAAAATGAGAGAAAAACATTTTTTCCGCGGTCAAGTTGAGTTACTAATGGACATATTACACACTACGTAAGTATACACTAACACGTTTACCTTTAAGCGCGATGGGGTTTTATAAACAAACAAAAATAATAATTATGTGTCATTGGTGTTCATTTTGCCTCATTTAAATCATGGCCACTTCATTGAGGGATCTATCTAAGTCTCTTAAAAATCTAGACAATCCAGATTACAAAGAACCCCGTCTTGATTTTCAAAGTACCCCTAAAATTGATGATGAAAAGCCATTCCTTACTGAAAGATCACCCAGGTCCCCATCTGCTCCACCTGATTATGCATTAAATTCCACATTAGATAATTCTGTTAAATCAAAGAATAAATCAGGAGCTCAAATGGCCATGGCTCATGATCCTAGACAGGCTTTAATTGAAAAAGAAAAATTAGCTGATCTTATGGTTGAGTGTGCTGATCAAAATAGAATTATAAGGAAATTGGAAAATGCTAATAAAGATATGGCTAGACAAATGGAGGCCAGACTCCACAATTTAGAATTAAAATTGAAACACCAACAATCTTTCTCTGAAGAACTGCAAAATCAGAACCATTTAATGTTCCTTGAGCAAAATGAACTAAAACAACAAAATGCTAAATTGCGTGTCAAAGTAGGCACTTATAAAAGGCGTACCCTTCCCCCACCACCTTTTATGTCACGTACCACTCACGAGTCTGACTCAGACACTAATTCAGAGGGGGAGGTTGATCAAATTGAACAAACTTCTGAATCTCAAGGGAGGTGGGTCCACCCTAATTTCTCCATCAGATCGGTTGATAATGAGAAATCACCATCCCCTGAACCAGTCAAGCAAGTCGGTACTGTTATAAAAAAGGCTGCTTTTAAACCAAAGCGTCTTAATGTTTATGAGGGTAAGCAGGAATGGAACGAATATGCGGTACATTTTGACACTGTATCGAAATATAATAACTGGTCAGAGGAGGAGGCATTAATGGAATTATCAATTGCTTTGAAGGGGGCAGCGTTATCTGTTCTTGCCAATATGTCCCCAGATGAACGTGCATCCAAATCAACTTTGATCACTAGGTTAAGAGAAAGGTTCAGTCCCACCCAATTGAGTGTCCACAAATGTTCACTTAAAAATAGAAAGAAACAAACTGATGAAACCCTCCCAGCTTTCGCAGCAGCTATCAAATCTTTGGTCTTCAAAGCATGGCCACAATTGCCCCATGAGGCAAGGGATCAACTGTCAATTGATGCTTTTATTGATGGGCTTGAACCTCGGGAATTAAGAGTTGAGTTGAGAAAAGAACCTTCAGGTAGTCTTGATGATTGTTGTTCAAAAGCTCTAAATTATGAGGCAGTCATGCAAAGTGAAAAGTTGCATAGGTCTAATATTCGTCAAGTAGAATCTGCGAATGACTCAACTTCCAGGGCACTTTCAACCCCACCCCGTGATAAGTCCTGGGTGGATACTTTACAAAAGGTTTTGAGAAAACTTGATGATCTTGAAAGTAAATTTCACAAAATTGATAATGTCCCTGTATATCAACAAGCAAGGCCAAACTATCAAAATAGACAATCATATGATCAGCAACGCCCAGTGGGGAGGGGTTATTCAACTCCCTCTTGGAATCACCAGAGTCCCCCACCTCCTAGAACTAACAGAGTACAAGGGGGAGGTACTAGGTCAAATATCCCCCTAAGAATGTTTCCTTTGGGACAGCTCCTATGTGCCATAAATGCGGTAAATTGGGTCATTTCCAAAGGGAGTGTCTTAATGCAATAAATTGTTACCCAGGGGTACAGGAAGGTAGATATGTGGGGCATTTAAACTCCTAAGGGCTGAGGGGAGGAGTCTAACTTCAGCTGAAACACAACGCCCAATATCTAGACTCCAAAATTCCTGCAAGGATTTAGCAGAGGGTCTAAATGAAATTTCTCATGACATAAAATATAATATCCCAAAAGGTTTGTTAGTTCCAGTGGAAATGGGGGATACTCAAATCGACTTCTTGTTGGAAACTGGTGCATCTAAGTCTCTTCTTTCAGTTAAACAGTACAAATGTTTGCATGATGATATTGTTGATCAATTACTCCCATCTAATCAAATTCTATATATGGCAGATGGGTCAGTTTTAAAACCATTGGGTAATCTCACAACTACAATCCAATTGAGTCCAACACTTGTACTTGAACAAGAATTTATTGTTGCTTCTTGTGAAAATTCAGGGATCTTGGGGATGGATTTCCTCTATCAAAATTCTGGGGTTTTAGACGTATCAAATGGTATATTGACAATAGACCATGAACAAATATTTTGTAAACCTGAAATGCATATTGCACAAGTCTGTGTTCAGGAAGATTTCCTTATGAAGGCATGGTCAGAGGTCACTGTACCAGTAAAAACGTCTAGAGTAACTCAAGAACCTTGCATGTTATTGATAGAACATTCTGAATCACCCCTCACTGAAGATGTGTTAGTAGCTAAATCAGTTGTACCCAATGACCCAAGTACAAATTCATATAAGGTAAAAATTCTAAACTTGGGGGAACCTAGTATTCTCAAACAGGGAACTGTAATTGCCCATGCTACTCCAGGTTATGGTGACCTTACAAATTTCAAAATTATAAATGGTGACTGTTCTGATCAAACAGTTATGAATGACAAGTGTAGTGTCTCCAATGTAGGACCGATGACAAACGACGATGACAACAATGACTTGACAATTGACGAAACAATACACAAACATGATGCATTGAATATACAAGATGAAAATGCAGAGTCAATGCGCGAATTTGAATCTGTAAATGACAATGAATTAAATGATGTTGATGCGTCAATATACACATATGAGTCTGTGAATTTAGAATATGATATTAAATTGAAAAATGATATTGAACAGTCAAATGAGTTGACAATTGATAGCGAGTCAATAAATTGTATGTCACTGCACAGTGAAACTGTGGGTATTGAATCTTGTTTTGATGAGTGTACTTTATGCTTATATGACAGTGAACTTGATAATGATGAATATGATAAAATGTTTGAAGATTACTGCATTGACGATTTAATTAGTGATGAATATGTCATCTGCAATGATAATTCAATTAGTGACAATTCCGATGATGATGAATATGTCACGTGTAATGATACAAATGATGATGAGACTTGTAGTATCCATTTCGTAAGAAAGGCGGATGGAGCTAGGCTGGCCACCTCTCTTGACTTTGATATGACAAACGAGTTCCATGTCAAGGACAATGCTACAGAGTCAAATGATATATTGGATCACAAGTGTGATCTGCTGAATGATTATTATGACGATATTGACAATGACTCAAATGACCAAACTATTTATGAACACTTGAAACCAATGTTAGATGACGCAAAGAAAGAACTTGACACTACACAATTGAATTTATTGGAGAATCTACTTCAAGAATTTGCTGATATATTTTCCAGAAACAGGTCAGATCTGGGTTATGTAGAATGTGTGCACCATGTAATTGATACACAAAATCATGTTCCAAAAAACAAAAAGTATTTGATGAGGTTACCCGAATGTTAGATCATGGTATCATTGTTCCTAGTTTAAGTGCATGGTCCAGTCCTATTGTTGTTGTAAATAAGAAACAGAGTGATCAAATTAGACTAGCAATTGATTATCGGTTGCTAAACAACATCACTACAAAAATTAGCTATCCTCTGCCCTTAATCTCCGATGTCTTGGATTCCTTGGGGGGTTCAGAAATTTATTGTGTGTTGGACATGACATCTGGGTTTCACCAGCTGTCTCTATTACCAGAAGATAAAGCAAAAACTGCATTCGCTATTCCTCCTGGGCACCCACAGGGTACTTTATTTGAGTTCAATGTACTTCCATTTGGGTTGTGTAACAGTCCTTCAACTTTTCAAAGGGTTATGGAATTTGTCCTTCGAGGGTTACTCCTGAAAAAGGCACTAATTTATGTCGATGATGTCATAGTTTTTGCCAAGTCATTTCCTGAACTGCTTGAGAACCTGAGAGAAGTCTTTGAAGCATTTCGCAAACATAATCTTAAACTGTCACCTAAAAAATGTCACATGTGTCACAAACAAGTCAGCTTTCTTGGGTACGTCATTGACAAAAATGGGATATCTACAAATCCAGAAAAAATCAAAGCTATGTTAGGATGGGATAGACCAACAACTGTTAAATTAGTTCGTAGCTTTCTGGGTTTAATGGCTTACTACAGAACTCATATCCAAGGGTTTAGTGACATCACAAAGCCCCTTTATAGATTAACTGAAAAAGATATACCTTTTCAATGGAGTGATGATTGTGAACAAGGTTTTCAGCTACTCAAGTCTAAAATGACATCTGCAGAAGTATTGGCTTATCCTGACCCTAATCTTGAATTCATACTTGACACTGACTGTTCAGATTTTGCGGCTGAAGCTGTCCTCTCTCAGGTTCAAGATGGGGTAGAAAGGGTCATTGGCTATTTCAGCTCCTCTCTCAGCAGGTCTCAACGTGTGTACTGCACCACACGTAAAGAACTCCTTGCTGTTGTGTTGGCCATCAAGAATTATCATAATTATCTGAGTGGTCAAAAGTTTACTGTCAGAGTTGATCATAATGCCTTGCGATATCTCAAAACTTTTAAGTTCATGACTGACCAATTAGCTAGGTGGTGTTCATTTCTGGCAAATTACAACTTTGAAATCAAGTATCGCCCAGGTAAAGATCATGGGAATGCTGATGGGTTCTCTAGACTCCCTGCTAGTCGTCCTTGCAAAATTTGTCCTTACTGTGATCGAAGGGAAGCCAATGAACAAAAACGTAAATTAGAAAATGAACAAATATTTAGGGTGTTGACAAGATCCCAAGCTAAAAATGAAAATCAAGAAAAGTTACAAGAACAATCACAA